CAGGAGGCTGGGAGATTAAAAGATAATCCATGCAAGGTATTTCGCAAAATACAGAGGCGGATGTTGGGGGGAGGCCATGGTTAGGTTATCGATGTTCCTTTGTTGGTCTGCATGGTTACTGTTTGTCGTTGTTGGTTTTTTAATATATTTTTATTGATTTCAGAGAGGAAGGGAGAGGGAGAGAGAGAGAAACATCCACGATGAGACAGACTCATCCAGCGGCCGCCTCCCGCACGCCCCTCACTGGGGATCGAGCCTGCAACCCGGGCACGTGCCCCGACCGGGAATCGAACGTAACTTCTTGGTTCGTAGGTCGACGCTCAACCACTGAGCCGAGCCGGCCGGGCTCATCTGTCTTGTGACCTCATTCAAGGAGCTTTCCCATGCAGAAATGTTCTACACACACACACACACACACACACACACACACACGCCCCGAAATCTGTCTGCTTCCTCCGTGCTGGGAGTCTCCTGTTCTCTCAAATCAGCCCCTCCCCCTTTGAGCTCCTGCACCAGCCATGCCTGCTCCTCCATCACTCAGCGGCCTCCACGGAGGACTTCTAAGGGGCCTGCTGCCGCCCTCAGGGGTGTGGGTAAAGCCCCGATGAACTCGCCGTGTGGAGCCCAGGTGTGCGCACCAGCCCCTCACCTGTGCCGCTCACCTGGCCTGCTCCTGGGCAGGTGGGCCCTGCAGAAACACCAGCAGCCATTGCATTGCAACCTCCCGCCCCCGGGGGGTGGGCGGAGGGGGGGTTCAGGCACAGCACAATCCCTTCACCAGCTAAGCCGCCCGACCACAGACACAAAGCACCGGGTTTGCGGTGAAGTCTTGCTCTGGCCTAAAGCCAGACACACAAAAGGACGAAGCGTATTAGGCGGGAGAGACGCTGGCTTTGGAGGATCATTCCTGGCCCCCCCAACCCCGTCCCAGGGGGATCAGACAGCAGGGATCGCACGCTATAACGAGCACGCGCAGTCTCTCATCGGTGTTCCCAGATCAAACATGGATGCTGCCGGCGAGGCCTTCAAAGGCCTAACAGAGCGCCATCGCCGGCCCCCGACGCCCTTTGCACAGCACCCGCCGTTTCCCCGTCCCCGGCCTTCTGATATTTTCCCCCTTGAAGCAAACATAATCCTTCAAAAAGCTCAAGTGAAGGAAACCGGTCAGCCCTGGCCGGTGCGGCTCAGTGGGTAGAGCGCCGGCCTGGGGACCGAAGGGTCCCGGGTTCGATTCCCGGTCAAGGGCACGTGCCCGGGTTGCAGGCTCGGTCCCCAGTAGGGGGCGTGCAGGAGGCAGCCGGTCCATGATTCTCTTTCATCGTAGATGTTTGTTTCTCTCTCTCTCTCCCTCTCCCTTCCTCTCTGAGATCAATAAACATATAGTTTATTTTATTTTTAAAAATATATTTTATTGATTTTTTTACAGAGAGGAAGGGAGAGGGATAGAGAGTTAGAAACATCGATGAGAGAG